TACATACATACATACATACAGACATACAGACACCACCGCGGGGGTAGTCAGGGAAGCTTCCTATGACCTTAAAACGTCGAGATCTGATGAAAACTCGATTTTTGCAAAACGGGGTGAAAACAATAACTTCCCGATTTTTGAAAATCTGAGATTTTTAGCGGAAAGTTAAAAAATAATAATAGAAGATATATCTAAGAATATATATTATAGAAGTTTTATAATTAGATAAAAGTTTTAATATTTTACAACAATTACGTATTTAAGACATAATTTGTGCGTTGAACTCAAGTATCAAAAAACGATTTTTAATTAATAAATTCATACTACAATAGTTATTAAATTCTACTAATATCAGAATAAGTCTGAGGTTGAAAATTATAAACTTAAAAAAAATGATTGAAATCCGTTGTTTATGTTCAGAAATATTTTTAAGCATAGCAAATTTCGAAATATAAAAAAAAACTTCTTTAATTTTATCCTAATTTCAGAATAATTAATTCTAAATTTCTTAACAGTCAATAAAAATAAAAAACAATAATAATTTTCTAAACATTTCTAATACCCTAATTATCACATTTGCACTCCAATAATAAGCTAACAAATTTTTATACTAATTGTATAACAATTAAAAAAAAAGACCGCTATATTAAGATAATTTTTCCTTTTTTCCACCCTTAACTATTTTCCGCTCGTGGCGTCCTCTTCTAATCCAAAGCTCCGTCCATCCCCGGGACTAGCGCATGCCCATCACAATCATATATTTAATTTTTTCCATCTAATTTACCTTTTTTTCTCCTCTAAAAAAAACCCTAAAAATCCCTTAAACCTCTCCAATGCTCCTCTTAATCCAGTGGTCGCCGAAAAACGGGTCTCACAAAAAAAAAAAGTGAAAAAAAAAATTTTTTTTAAATCTCCGCACAATTCATCAATATTATCCTTACGGATTTTTCCGCCACGCAATTTTATTCTGCGCATGGAAAGCAATTTTACCCAATCATAAATAGGGCTATTGTGGGGGATAGTGTATGTTGGTGCATTTCATACATCCGAGTAATGGTAACCAGATAGAGGCGTCGCGAGGCTTTCGGCCCGGGTTCACGTAAATATCTCTCCAATCTCCATTACACTGTGCATTACATACAATAAGCCTCACCAATATTCAAACTTTTATTTCTTCCTCAATTAGCTACCCCTCTTAATAATCACAAACACCCCTTCTTAAACAACAAGTAAAGTACAAGTTAATTATCAATACAATTATAACACATAATAATACCCAGCCAACAATCTTAAGTAATAATTATCTTAAAACTTGTGTCAAAAGTTTAAGTGCTAAATTGAGAATCTCGCGAGTGGATAATGAGAGCGTGTGTGACACGCGGTCGAGCGAGTGATCCGTGACGTCAGTAGTCCAATCGGTTGTCACCTGTCAAGCCAGTATAGTGCTCGCCTTACGTCTCCCCACCTAAATATCGCACCTGACCCTCTCTCTTCTCTTCTATCTCATTCTCCTCTTGGTTCCTCTTCTCATGCACCTCTGGATTTGATTTCGGATGCTGCTACCACACCGTAACAGTAACAGTAATAGTAACTCAAACTAGAACTCACATTCTGATGCTCCATCACCAAAATTCAGGATTAAATTTCTAAATGACTTTCTACATTTCTTCTTTATTTTTCTTTTTTCTTATTAAATACATTTCTTTTTTACGGTACTAAAGTTAGCCGACATTTTTAATTTTTTTGTTTTTTTAATAATTAAATTATAACAGTAAAATATTTTTTTAAAATTGCACTTACAGTTTTTAAAGTTTTAGACAAATGACACTGAAGTTAGCAGATAATAAAGTTAACCGACACTTTTGATTTTTTTATTTTGTTTAATTTATTAAATTACAACTAAAAAAATATTTTTAAAAAATTGCAATTATAGTTTTTGAAGTTGTTAACAAGTGAAATTTTTTTTTTATTTTTTTGTAATAATTTTTTCAATAAAAAAAAGTTCTAAAAATTTTTAAATGTCGGCTAACTTAATTTTCATAGTTAGCAGACGTTTAAAAATAACAATTGAAACAGTAAAAATTCTACGCTTAAAATATATATTTTACCAGTTCAAGCAAATCAATAATTATAATTTGATTTTTAATGTTGCACTAAAGTTAGCAGACGTCTAAAAATTTTTGATTTTTTTTATTAATTAAATTATAACTAAAAAAATATTTATAAAAAATTGCACTTATAATTTTTCACGTTTCTTACATGTGCAATTTTTTTTTTTAATTGTTTAATTGAAATTTTTTCAATAAAAAATTTCTAAAAATTTTGAAATGTCGGCTAACTTAATTTTCATAGTTAGCAGACGTCTAAAAATTTTTGATTTTTTTTATTAATTAAATTATAACTAAAAAAATATTTATAAAAAATTGCACTTATAATTTTTCACGTTTCTTACATGTGCAATTTTTTTTTTTAATTGTTTAATTGAAATTTTTTAAATAAAAAATTACTAAAAATTTTGAAATGTCGACTAACTTAATTTTCATTTCTTCTTTATTTTTCCTTGCAATAAATAATTTTTTTTTCTTCCTAAAAAAAATATCACTTATTAATATTTTAAAATTGCAATTAGTACATACAATATAATTATATTCCCTCTTTATCTTCCTTATACTCATACCTTTTACACAAAGAATAATCCCAGTAAAGTATCCCCGGTAAACCTCTGGGTGGTCGGTAGCTCATGGAGCCCTCCCATCACCCTTATAACCCTCTCGCCCATTTCATCCCATGCCTCGCGACCGCAGACACAAAAACAATAACAAATCGATTCCTGGAGGGCGCCGTGGTAAGAGGAAAGGGAAGGGGTCAACCACGGTGGCTGGGACACTGCTCATGAGCTACTCTAGACTTTGGGGACTATACAGGGCAGCTGGAATATTACGAAGGGGTGAAGTAAACGCGAATAAGAGAATTTTGTTGGACTGGTATTGTATCGAGGGCGTTTTGTAGCCAGGATATACTAAAAAGAGACGAGACAGCAAGAAGAAAAGGACAGAGTCTCTCCTCTCCTTATCTGCATATGTTGATGCAGGGGTGGTCTGCTCTTATTGCCCCCTACCTCTGTCTATTTCATTCGTTGGTATATTTATTACTTTATTTTGTCTATGAGCATGCACACTACATGGTAAAGTATGCAGCTACGGGACACAAGAGTCGTCAGCCGATCGCAGCCAGACTCATCCACTGGTCTTGCTTTCGTAGTTATCTTCGCGGTCGTATTCATTGTTCTGGTATTTGTTGTTGTACTAGATATCGTGGGACTCAGAACCGGTGTTATGATCGATTACGAGCCAATCAATTCCACTGACGCTGGATCACACGCGATTTTCGGTACCGGGGTTGATAAAGTTTTTCTTCAGACGCAGACGTGATCGTTTACGCTACGGTATTTTTTTTTTTTTTTTTTTTTTTTTTTTTTAATAATTAGATTGGCTTTTGTTGAATTTTTTAATATTATTATACACTTTTTAAGCACACTGTTCAGTAGTTTGGTTAAGGATGAGTAGTCGCTCCATCTGCTTTTAAGAAATCAAAAATTTATGATCCTAAAATCAGCCGACGTTCAACAATTTTTAATTTTTTTTTATTAATTAAATTAGAACTAAAAAAATATTTTAAAAAAATTGCTCGCGTAGTTTGTAAAATTTTTTACATGTGAAATTTTTTCTTTTAATTTTTTTAAAAGTATTTTTCAATAAAATAAATTACAAAAATTTTCAAATGTTGGATAATTTAATTTTTAAAAAAATTTTTGGTTACTTTTTATCATGTTCTACCGGATTTAATTTATGTCAAATTTTATTAGGAAATATTTTTAAAAATTCGCACTTACTTAATTTTTTGAAATTTCTACATGAGATTTTTTTGTTAAATTTTTTTTATTATAATTTAATTGATATAAAAATCTACAAAATTGTTAGATTTTTGGTACCTAGTTTCAGAATAAAATAAAATTAATCAAAAAGTTTTAAACTTCAAAAAGGTTTTATAGTAGTTTTTGAAGTTTGATACTAAAATTAGCAGACATTTAACAACTTTTGATTCCTTGAAACAATAAAAATTATAAGTAAAAAAATATTTTCTAAAAATTGCACTTGGAATTTTCCACATTTTCTACATGTCCAATTTTTTCTTGTAATTTTTTTTTAATAATTTTTTTCAATAAAAAAATTTTCAGATCTTTAAAAATTGCAATTGAAATTTTTGAAATTCTTCACATGCCAAATTTTTTCTTGTAATTTTTTTTAATAATTTTTTTCATTAAAAAAATTCTAAAAATTTTTAGATATAGGCTAATTTAATTTCTATGAAATTAGCAGGCACTTGACAAATTTTTAATTTTTCTTGAGTAATTAAATTAGGTATGAAAAATAATTAAAAAAAAATTGCATTGTAATTTTTTAGAGCTTCTAAACATGGAATTTTCTAAATTTTTCTTGCTGTAATTCATTCGTTAAAAAAAAATCTAAAAATTATTGGAAATTTTTTAATTTCAGTATCAGAAAAATTGAAACAAAAATGTAAAGTTTATATAAATTGTAATTTTTGAAAGAATTTTATTTATTCTTCAGCCTTGGGATAAGTAGAAAGTCTTGATAAAAAATGACCAAAAAATTCTGCACAGAAGTAATTTTATCTGTGAAAATACCTTTCTAGCTGGAGCACTACTGGGCCCATAACCTGTTAATGATATTTAAAATTATTAAAATTAATGATATTGACAAAATTTTGCAGATGGAATATGGAATTTGGAGTCTTCATGCCGCGAGCAGACTTTGGGGCGACCCGCGACTCGCTCGGCATCCGATTCTACCAGCAACTCCACAGATTCTTTCGAGGGCAGTTCTTACTTTAAGTGCACTTCAACAGCAGCAGCAACTTAGTGCAGCGATGGCTAGTGAGGCTGAAGGCTGTCAAGCAATTGAACTCACTGCAAAACCCAGCAGCGATGGAACGAGAAGTGAAACTAGCACGCCGTTTGATAGGAAGAAATCTGAAGACAACGAAAGCAACATCGAAAAGGATGATGATGACTATGAGGTATTTGTTGAATTAATTGGCTTGTAAATGAATTTTCATTGACTTATTCACTTTTTAGACAATTGGAACCAATGACAACGAAGATCCCGGTGAAGAGAGCGATACTGGAAGTACAAATAGCTCTCATCCTTCAGGGAATAATAATTTACCAAGTAACTTTTTGGATCCTATGTCCTGCTTTGGATTCGATAAGGTTTTTATTATCATTCCTTAAAAGCTTGTTCATACACAGAAAAAAAAACTTCTTGCACCAAAAAAATTTTTAAGAAAGACAAAAGTTATTTTGGAGTAAGAACACAGTAAAAAAATTTTGCGTCATTGCGTCAAAAAATTTAGTGTTAAAAATTTTTATGTTAAATATTTGACACACTTTTTCGTGTTGATTTAACAGAATAAAAGTAAAATTTACACATAAACGTGTTAATATTTAACACAAAAATTTTTAACACTAAGTTTTTTGACGCAATAACGCAAAATTTTTTACTGTGAAGAAATTTTCTTGGCTCAAAAAACTTTGACTTCATTCAAGAAATTTTCAATCTTCCTTAATATTTTCTTGAGCCAAAAAAATTTACTCTTCAGTCAAGAATTTTTTTTTTTCAGAGTAAGTATTCAGTTGATGACAATTTAATTATTTTTGTTGCTTAGGATGAAACAGTTACTCCAATGTTGAACAGTTGGGTTTTGGGAGCTTATACGGCAATGTTAGGAAGATTGTCAGCGGCAACAGCGGCTTTGGAAGCTATTGAAGTACCTTCAATGCCTTCTGGGAGTGAGTCTGAGAGTGATGAATCATCGTCTACTGAAAAGTAATTATTTATATTGTTAATTTATTTTGATGATATTAAAATATTAAAATTAATTAATATTTGACAATTTTTCTAAACAAATAAATTATTATAAAAAAATTCCACAAGTGAAAACTTATAAAACTATAAATGCAATTTTTTTAAAAATATTTTCTTATAATTTATAAAAATCAATACTTAAATGTCTGCTAAATTCAATAAAGTTTAATTTTGTTATTTTTGATCTCAATATCTTACAATTTTAATAAATAACTTTATTCATTAATTTAATTTAAAATTGTCAATAATTTGAAGACAGTTAGTTACAAAAATAAATCTAATTAAATGTTAATTAAAATATTTATAAATATTATAAACTAAATAGATCTCGAGACACCAGTCCAGTTGCTGGAGGATACAGAGGCTATCCCTGTGGATCGTGCGATGTAGTAGCACCAACGCGACCAGCTCTAAAAAAGCACTTGCTGGACTGTCATCCCGCATCGTCATCAGGGTCGGAGGCGAGCAGCACGAGAACCTGTCCATCAGCTGGCTGTGACTTTACAAGCCAGTCTAGGTGTGAAATGGAGACTCATGTCGCGGGTCACGTCGCCCAGGGGATGACGCCAACGGGAAAAAAAAGGTCATTAGCTCTTCAGCGCGTTAGGTATAGGTACTCAAAGTTTATCAAACATTTTTATTCCAAGCACTTGCTCAGTGTTTCATTGATTATGTTTAATATTTCTTATTCTATTTTTATCATTCAATGAAATGGTCTAGGTACGAGAGAGAAGAGTACCGATGCTCACTGTGTTCATACGCCTGCACGATTGAGAAAGCTTTCCAGCGACACTTACGTGCTCATGCGAAAGGCTCTGCATCAGAGACCAGGGTCAGCTGTGCTGTTTGTGGGGCCGACAGGTCTTCCGAGGTTGATTTGAGTCGACATATGAAGAGGCATCGCGATGACAGATATTTTTGCTGCGATATCTGTGTTTTCCGTACTGTCCAATTAAAAAAAGTAGGCAAAGTCATTTTGTATTTTTTTTTATCTTTATTTGTTTTATCAAATCAATAATTATTAACCCCTGACAGACAAACATCGAAACTGTATTCCTCTAACAATAATGAGGGTAAAAAAAAATAATCTATATTATTAAGAGAATAAGCAAAATTTTGTGGCCGGTGTATTTATATGATAAAATGGGTGTTAATGGTTAAATTTGGTCAATAGTCAATTTATGATGATAAGTATTTAGGCTGCATTCGAAAATACTCTATCTCTAGATAGATAATTAAGAAATTACCTTATATCTCGTGAACTATTGACATTTTTAAAGATATAAGCTCATCTCGATGTTACACTCATCAAGACCTTTCATTT